GACAACCACCTGGTCTCCCCACAAAATGCACCCTTTTTCAATTGATAATTCAGTTTGCCGGTTTTTAAAAGGTTTAAAAGTCTCGGTTTTTATGTTTTCCGGCCAACCCCGTCCCACCCAGTTCAATATTCGGGCCATCAGTGCATCTTTAACTGTTTCCCTTGCGATGTCCAATGCGGTGATGGGCCAATTGGAATCGTTTCAATTTGTAGGGTCTGTGTGGTGGGAACTGGATCGTCATCGTGAACTGGTAATGGTGAGTGGCTTAAAGCGTCTGCGTGGGATATGGCTTTCCCTGGGCGATAAATGAGTTTGTAATTGTAGGCTGCCAGAAATTTTGACCATCTAGTCATTCTTGGGGACAGGATATTGGGGGTGGCCCTGTCTCCGGCTAGGATTCCCAATAGCGGTTTGTGGTCGGTAATCAAAGAAAATGTCCTACCGTATAGGTATTCGTGGAAACGTTTCACCCCCAAGATAGCTGCCATGGCTTCCCTGTCCAATTGGCTGTAGTTCCTTTCGGTCTTGGACAGCATCTTGGAATAGTAGGCGATCGGTGCTTCTCTGCTGTCTGGTAGTGTGTATTGTGCCTATGCTGAAAGGTGAAGCGTTGCAGGTGACAGTTAGAGGTAGTGTGTCACTGTATTGGATCAATACAGATTTTGATGTAAGTCTTTAATTTTTTGGAACGCTGTTTCCTCTTGGTGGCCCCATTTCCAGTTGGCTTTTTTATCGAGAAGTCTATGCAGTGGTTCCGCTACTGTTGCCTTCTGTGGCAGAAAGACATGATAAAAATTAATGAGTCCCAAAAATGCTTGTAGGTCTGTTTTGTTTTTGGGTCTGGGAGCTTCCTTTATCGCTCGTATTTTTTTTTTCGTGGGGTGGATTCCTGCTTCATCAATAAGGTATCCCAGGAACTCGACCTGGTTTGTGGCAAGTTGGCATTTTTCTTTTTTAACTTTGAGTCCTGCTTCTCTGAATTTTGCCAAAACTGCCCTTAAACGGTCTTTTAGTTGTTTTTTGTTTTCGGCTGATATTAGTACATCATCAAAATAGGGTACCACCCCTTTTAGTCCTTGTAGGAGGCGTTCCATTAGGCTCTGGAAAACGCCAGGGGCCACGCTTACACCGAATTGTAATCTATTACATTTAAAAGCTCCTCTATGCGTTACGATGGTTTGCGCCTCTGCTATCTCAGGATGAATGGGTAATTGTTGATATGCCTGCGCTAGGTCGAGCTTCGCAAAAATCCTTCCTCTCCCTAATCAATGCAACAGGTGTTGGACTACCGGAACGGGATATGTGCTCTGTTGCAATGCATGGTTCAGGGTGGCCTTATAGTCACCACAGATGCACACGGACCTGTCAGGTTTTATAGGAGTCACAATTGGGGTTTCCCATCTGGCATGGTCGGTTGGCTCTAGCACCCCCTGAGCGATTAGCTTGTTTAGTTGCTCATCAATTTTTGGTCTTAGTGCAAATGGTACCTGTCTGGCTTTAAGTCTGATGGGTGCTACATTCGGGTTTAAGCTAAATGATATAGGGGTCCCACGGTACTTGTCTAAAGTCCTGTCGAATACGTCATGGAATTCTTCCATCAGGTCTTTTTCCCAGTCCGTCATGGTGATGCTGTTGATCCCTGTCACTTCAATTCCGAGCGGTTCGAACCATTCTAACCCGAGCAGGCTGGGGCGATCTCTGTCAATGATGGTTAGTGGAAGAATCTCGGTGTGTCTTTTAAATTCCACTTTGAAATGTCCCAATCCCACTACTGGTATCTTGTTACCCTGGTAGTCTTTGATGATCAGGCTCTGTTCTTCAAGTTCTCTACATTTTATGTCTGGTATCAAACTTTTTATTGTGTTCCATGATACCATTGATAAATACGAACCGGAGTCTACTTCCATTTCACATGGCTCACATTCTGTCAGAACGTTGATTCGAACCTTCTTGGTGTTTGTTGTTCTGGCCGTCCCAATAGTGATTGTTTGATGCGTTTCTTCCTTTTCGTCAAGCCATTGATTTTTACCGTCTCAGCTCCAGCAGCTTCCGGTTGGCCTTTCTTTGTTTCTGGAGGGGGCTACAGCCCTGTCCCTTAGGACTATAGCTCTTTTTGTTTCAGCAGACCCTCGCAATGTGCCACCATTTCTCACAATGCTGGCATGTGGCATCTAAGAATCGACATTCAGACCTCGGGTGGTTTACGCCGCAACCCGCACACTGGAACTTGGGTTTTCTACTTCATCTCTCTCTCCGGTTCCTTTCTGTAGAGTAGAGCCTGTTTACCTCCTCGTCTTCGTCTTCTGAATCGGTTGATGATTCGATGTCCTCATGGTGAGAGGTTGTGGCAGCGTGCTTTTGGGCTCCTTCTATTTTCTTTTCTTTATTCATGCACAGACTGTTCGTTGTAATCATCTGTTTCATTTTTACTGCAGATTTCTTTGCGGCTTCAGCGGCAGTTGCTTCAGCAATGGCTTCGTTCATGGTGATGTTGGGTCGGTTTAGCAGTTTGCTCTGTAGGGTTGCGTCTCTTAGTCCAAGGACTATGCAATCCCTCATGGCTTCATCCATGTTGAGGAACTTGCATGCTCCCCCAATGTCTCTTAATGCTGCTACGAAGTCTCCAATACTCTCACCTTCTAGTTGGTCGTGCTTGTAGAACTCATGCCTTCTAATGAGATTGGATACAGCTGGCGTGTAATGGTTTCTCAACATCCGATTTAGGTCTGGCCAGGCAATCTGTTTAACGTCGTTTGGTCTTGCTAATGCCTTGGCCATTTTGAAGATAGTCGGGCCACAATGCATTAGGAATACGGCTCTCTTTCTCTGGTCAGTGATTCCTTGCAGTTCGTTGCTTTCTCAGGAATCTGTTAATGTATGACTCCCAGTCTTCTTCGGCTGGGTTGAACGGTGCGGGTGGTAAATTGTTGCCGGCCATCTCGTTGGTCCTTCAGCTATCATTGCCACGTGCTTACGGTCTTTGTCTCTTCAATCCCACCTTCGTCGCCAGTGTTCTGTCGCCAGACAAAAGAGACTCGAAGTCCGGAGTTGAATTCAGCTCTTTATTATTCAGCCCTGAACCAGTAACTTCAACTAAAGTTGAGCCACGGCAGCCCTTTTTATAGCAGCTGCTAGCGGCTCGCAACCAATGGCATTTATTTAAACTTCCCGCCGCTTAGGCGGCCAATCCGAAACTGTCGTCATTAACCAATCGTTATGTTGCATTAACTAACCAATAGGAATGTAGTCTTAGAAGTCTCTATTTGAATATACTACAATAGGTATTATTTTCAGGTTGCTGGCTACTATTAGAGAACTTTAAAATCTTGGAAAAATTTGTATCAGTTTGTATTGTCTTTCATAATAGTCTGGTTTCAAGTTTTCATATTGCTATTTTCTTAATTGAAGAAATATGGCCTGGCTGATTAATTTTGTTCCAAGACTATTTGTCACATTCAGCCCAGATTTCTCTTAGGCTTGATTATCACTTATTATTAATTAGTATCCACCTGGAGTGGAGAGGAGGCCTACCTTAAAGCTAGGAGAAATAGATGTAGAATTCTTCATGTGCCTTATGCATTGACTCACCACGGCATGTTTATGGAACAGATGCTGCCAAAGTATTGCAAAATGATGGCATTTTATATATTTTTTTATTTTCTAAAAACCAATAAATATAATAAAACATCTGATAATAAATCTGATAATAAACAGCCAGATTGTTCTAGTTACTGAGCTATCAAGCTAGAAACCAGGAGACTGTGAATGCTAGTCCCACTTTAGGCATGAAAGATAGCTGGGCAACTTTATGCCAGTCATTCTCTCTCAGTCCAGCTCACCTCACATGACATTCATACTTCTATTGCTTATTAAATGGTTACATTACAAATAGGGAGATATAGTAGGGAGACTAACTAAAGAGGCCAAAAGCATAAAAATAATGCATGCTATCATAAGAATTTGTTTTGAATATTAAATTGTATATAGGCTTACTAATGGCATAGGTAAAGGTTGAATGATATGCATTTATCCATTAAAAAGCAATCTTCTGGTTTGCAATTAGGATAGGAATTGATTGTCTTCCTAATATCATTTTCTTTCATTAAAATGCTGGCAAGAAAGCAAATAGATTGATCTAGTTTTTTTTTTTAATGTAAATATCCAGTTTTGGGATCTAGTTTTTAATATACACAAAGTTTAAAAATAATTGCTGTAGTAAGATATTCCTGACTTTTTCATTATGAAAGTATATGAACTCCTTTTATCATTTGTTACATCGGTTTTTTAAAGAATCAAAATATGCAATTGCTTTTTGTGCCTAATTTTGTGCCTAGTATTGATTGTGAAAGCTCTGTATAAGACCTTACTATTTAGGGGACATTTTTGGAAACTCTATTAGCTCTTTAATTCCTTCACAGAGTTTAAAAGTGGGGTATAAATAAGATGATAAATAAATAAATCCCAATTATTTTTTTCTGAGGTGTGCTTATTTAATATGACTTGAAAGTGCAAAGATATGTTTAGTGTGGTAACTTTTTCCCTAAGTCCTGTGCCAATCCTGTGAGTTAAACCTTTGTCAACTGTGTTCATCATTCATTTTGTTGTGTATTGAACTCCAATTATTTAAAACTATGGCATACCTATCAAATCTAATTACAAAGAAAAAAATTAATATTTAACATCTGCAATACAGTGTTTAAAGCTAAGGCTTTAAAATGGCATCCTCATTATTGTCCTCCCTTGATCTGTTATGTCAAAGAAGGGAGAAAATTGTGGAATGGAAGTCATCATTCCTTGGCTAAAAATAAACTTCAGACAACGATAGGATCTTCAGTGCCATTACTCTTCCTATATAACTTAAATAGTGTCTCATAACCTTCAAAGATGGTACTGTATCTTTGAAGTGACTGTGTCATTATTGTTTAACAGCATTTGCAAAGAATTCTTTCTCTAGTCTGTACTATTCTGTAGTCATGCTCACATTCTTGACATTTACACAGGGTAGCGAGTGTGCAGAGTGAACCTGGACACCACAATCTCCTTCTTCAGCAACCATTAGGGAGAAAAAGAGGTCTAAGACAGGTGAGTTCAGAACAAGGTTGTACTCAATTGGATGAAAAAAATCTATATAACTTGTTAAGGGAATTTGTTAAGAGATTTTATATTAAGGAATTTTGTGGACTTTCTGAAACAATAATGATTTCTGAATTAGGGCATGATATGAATAGATGGGAGATAAATACTGATGTAAGTATTTGCAAATCTCAGAATTTCCTTATCTAATTCAATTGCACCCATGCTTTCTAGCTAAGGAGGCCTCTGTTATCACGCCAGAAAACCCAGACTGAATCTCACAGCCGTCACGGAGCACGACTTTCAACAACACGTAGAAGCATACAGCCCAAAACAAAATCAACTGGTGAGGAAACTTTCATAGTATTCTAAGTTTTAAAAAGTTACTGGTTTCCACCAGTGGTGGGATTGAATTTTTTTTACTACTGGTTCTGTGGGCATGGCTTGGTGCGTGTGGCAGGGGAAGGATACTGTAAAATCTCCAGTTAGAGGTGGTATTTGCTAGTTCTCCGGACTACTCAAAATTTCCACTACCGGTTCTCTAGAACTGGTCAGAACCTGCTGAATACCACCTCTGGTTTCCACATATATTAATGCTAGGAGTAGGGAGGAGGCTACTGGGATTGCATTATCGGCATGCTTTGCTTTTGCTATAACAATGTGGGATTTGGGGGAGGGGGCTATTAGATTAGATTAACAGAATTGGAAGGGACCTTGTAGATCATCTAGTCCAACCCCCCGCCCAAGCAGGAGACCCTACACCATTTCTGACAAATGGCAGTCCAATCTCTTTTTGAAAGTCTCAAGTGATGAAGCTCTCACAACTTCCGAGGGCAAGCTGTTCCATTGGTTGATTGTTCTCACTGTCAGAAAGTTTCTCCTTGTTTCCAGGTTAAATCTCTCCTTGTTCAGTTTCCATCCATTCCATCCATTCCATCTGGCCTACAGGTGCTTTAGAAAATAGCTTGACCCCTTTCTCTCTGTGGCAGCCCCTCAAATATTGGAAGACTGCTATCACATCTCCCCTCGTCCTTCTCTTCACTAGATTAGCCATGCCCAATTCCTACAACCATTCATCGTCCCCTCGTCATCCTGATTGCTCTTCTCTACACTTTTTCTGGAGTCTCAACATCTTTTTTGTAATGTGGTAAACAAAACTGGATGCAGTACTCTAGGTGTGGTCTTACTAAGGTTTTATAGAGTGGTATTAGTATTTCCCTTGATCTTGATTGTATCCCTCTGTAAATGCAACTTAGGATTGCATTAGCTTTTTGGGCTGCTGCTGCACACTGCTGGCTCATATTTAGCTGGTTGTCCACTAAGACTCCAAGATCCCTCTCACAGTTACTGCTATTGAGCCTGGTTTCACCCAGTCTATATCTGTACTTTTGGTTTTTCTTGCCTAAGTGTAGGACTTTACTTTTCTCTACATTGAATTTCATTTTGTTAGATATGGCCCAGTGTTCAAGTCTGTCCATCTGGATCTTGAGCCTATCTTCTAGGGTGTTAACTATTCCTGCCAGTTTAGTATCATCTGCAAATTTGGTAAGTTCCCCTTCTATTCCCTCATCTAAGTCGTTAATGTAGATGTTGAAGAGTACTAGGCCTAAGACGGAACCTTGTGGCACCCCACTGCTTACTTCCCTCCATGTAGACTTAGATCCCCTAAGGACTACTCGTTGAGTATGGTTTGTCAGCCAGTTGCGAATCCATCTGGAGGTGATTCTATCTATCCCACTTTTTTCTAGCTTCCCAAGAAGTAGGTTGTGGTCTACTTTGTCGAATGCCTTGTCGAATGTCTAAGTATATTATGTCCACAGTATTTCGTTGGTCTACTGATTTAGTCACTATGTTGAAAAATGAAATAAGATTGGGTTGGCATCTATTTTTAGCAAACCCGTGCTGACTGCTAGTTATTATTTTACTTGTTTCTAGATGTTGACAGATCTGGTTTTTTTTTAATTATCTTTTCTACTATCTTCCTGGGTAATTTTTTAATAAAAGTTTTTTATTTTTATAATAACAACAAAAGACAAACATATAAAACCTTCTTTCTGTTTCACAGTGTGTCAATTGGGTACATATTTCTTTGTGCACAAAATAATATTATCATACAGATTTAACTTGTATATGTTTATAATCATTCTAATCAGCATTTTATATCGCATATATCACTTATTCTATTACCCTTAGCTTTATAATCATTGACTTTCAATAATATATTTCAAATTCATTTTCTTACTCTAACTCATCTATTTATCAATAACAATATATTATACTATACTTATATAATTCAATTCTTTACTCTTCTATCCAGCCATTCATAAAATAAATTCCAAATTTTATAATAGTCTTTTTCTTCTTGTTCTCTAATCGCTATTGTCAATCTACTCATTTCTGCACATCCCATTATTTTCTTAATTATTTCCTCCTCTGTCGGAATTTTTTCATTTCTCCAATTTTGTGTAAATACAATCCTAGCTGCTGTTAATATATTAATAATCAAATACGTTAACTCTTTGTTATAACCCTCAGGCAGAATTCCCAGCAAAAATGTTTCTGGTGTTAAGAATTTTATCACTTGCCCTTTCTATGCAAGTGACAGAAAAAAACGGATGTGATGTTTTCTTTTCTTTTTTTGTCCTTTAACTTTTCCAGGATAGGTAAAGAAACAGAGGAATCCACCAATCACAATGACTGTTGTAACCATTACAACACCAGATAGAATACTAGGCCATTACCAGGACGTAAATAGAGTAAGGGGATCAAATCTGAAAAGGGGTTTCTGAAATTGGCAATATTTCTACCTGGCTTTATGCACATTAGACAAGCAGTGTAGAAATGGCCAAAGAGAGGGATCTGACTCATATATAATTTATATGGCTCACCCTCCCATCATTTTTACAAATGAAATAAACCCTTCTCTACATGAATTTTAAATTTTCCAGCATTATCAGCTTCAGCTAGAGTTCTACAGTCTTCACAAACCAGAAGAGTTCAGAATCCACTAGCAACTAGCACTATATTAATTGGAAATGTTTTGAGGATTTTGAGGGTATTTATTTACATATTTTAGAGTTTGTGTTGCTTTTCCTTATAATATCGGGGTTTTGTAAATCACCATACAAAAATAAATGGGTTATAGGGAGCTAGCGATGCATTTTATTTGGATGAAAAGTATAATGTGTTATTATTTCTATTTTGGGGTTTTTTTGTTTTGTTTTTGGTTATTATTTTGACTGGTAGCTACTCAGGGGCAGTGCACACCCCTATTGTCCAGTCTTATAAAAGCCCTTATTGGCTGACAGTGTTTTGTGAAAGCTGTAAACTCAAAAATGCTAAGAGTATTTTAATACATATGCTAAGAGTATTTTAATGTTCAAATAAATCTGTAGTATGGAAGATAATCTGGAAAATTAAATTTGCTTAAGGTGTGTTGTGGAGGGCTACATGACAGCTGGCGGTGTCTTTATTTATTTGCAAGTAGGATGCCCACTGGATAGTGGCATATGCATACAAATATGATTGTAAGGATGATCTATTAAATGGGTAAGCAAATGTCTGAGAGAACTTCTCTTAGATGTGTTAGCTCTACAGGATCTCTTATCCTTAATCTTTCTTTTGAATTTTTGCCTTTTCCTAATGGCCTATCTATACCCTTAATGTTGTTATTTCTCTCCACTCTTCCCTTAAATCTGATTTGCCTGTAGCCCATCTAATTCCTTGGGACCTGTGAGCCCTCTCAATATTTTGTTTCAATTTTATCTCACTGGAAATTCATGAAATCATCATCTCTGCTGGCCACAGCCTCTCATTTCTAAGAATATTCCAGGGAAGGGAATGGGAAAGCTTTGGCATTATTTTCCAGCTATCTAAAAAAAAGTTTTAGTATTTATAAAAAAGAGAAAAGTTGAAAAAGATTTGTTAAGAATGTAGATGAACAAAAAACTCTGACAGGTGCCAAATGTCAGCCTTCAAGATTTTCTCCCTTTGCTTTTCATCTTTCAGCTGTCATAAGTAATGGGGGGGGGGGGATGGTTGTGGGAATTGAGCTGGAGGTGTTACAAAGCAGAACTGTATAAACTGGGTGGGGATACATTCTTGCTTAGGTTTCTATCCTATGCTATGCGCAGCTGCAACCCTTTATCAAACTATGTCAAGGTCAACAGACAGAAGCCTCATCACCACCTGGAGATGCCCACATGATGATATACACCACTTTTAATTGGATGAGCCAATTGAACTATTGGGGGTGGGAACGTTGCCATTACTTTGTATGGGTGATTTACGCGCCCATTTTCTCAGATTCAGAATTCTTTTGTTGCTACCACTTGATTTCCAGTAAAAGATATCTTTTCTCAGTTTAATGGAGTCTAAGTATTTCTTTCTTGGATTTTGAATGGAGCACCAGCTGACATTATTCTGAATCTCCACATTACCATCCCACCCAGAGAATTAATAAATTTTCTTCCGAGGGGGTCTGAACACAATGTCAAATCCAGCCAGCGACCAAGAAGATCTGGGAGCAACTGGAGGACAAGATTCTCTGCTGCTAGAGGAAGCAGGGGAAGCCAACTTGTTAGCAGAACTAAATCTTGGGGGAAAACCAGCTGTAAAACCCAAATGGTCCCTGGGAGTCGGTTGGAAGGATCCTGAAGAAAAGCCTTCTCCAGGAGTGATCATTACTCGTCGGCGTGGAAGAGAGGAGCCATGGCAAGAGAAGGAAAGAAAGAATTTTTTACTAACTCAAGCCATGCATCTTCTAAATGAAGCTATTGGACAACCTCAAACTGATCAAAGGTATGAGGGAGAGGAGGGGGAGGCAGCCCCAGCCAAAAGAATAAGAGCAGCCACCCCCATAAATCAACCTGGGCTAGCGCAACAGGCAATAGCAGCCCAGGGGCCCCCAGCGGGAGGAGTAATTGCCAGAAGAAATAGAACTCCAAAGGTGCCTCCATTGGAAGTAAAATATGGGGGGAATCCCAAGGAGTTAGGATTCTTCCTGGCACAAGTCTGGAGCCATATGGAGGAATATGGAGGGGATTTTTCCTCAGAAGCAGCTAAAGTTAGATGTGTTACCAGGGCTCTGGAGGGAACATCTGCAAAGTGGATGGTGACTTTGCATAATGATAATGCCCTCAGCTGATGAATTATGACCTGTTCATGACTGCGCTGCGGACCAGGTTTGAAGACCCTCTTGCTGAACGTAAGGCCAGAATTAGGATGAAGACCATAAATCAGGGGTGGAGATCAGTGGCCGACTACACCCAGGAATTTAGAGAGCTGGCATGTCATATTCGAGGCTGGTCCCAGGGATCCCTGATAGAAGCTTTTAAAGATGGGTTGAATGAAGATGTATATCAAAGCTGTATTGTCAGAAGAGACCCCAGTGAGTTGCAGCTGTGGTACGTGCTGGCAGCAGAGGTTGAAATTGATGTGACCCGAAACAGACACCGGGGGGGGGTTGGTTGGAGCAAGTCCTCCCCCAGCAGCCCTCGAGAAGCCTTAAAACCTCAAAAGGGAGGAATGGCGGCAAAACGCAAGACTACTGCTTGCTTCTGATGTGGGAAGGAAGGTCACTGGCCTGCAGATTGCTGTGCCAAGCTAGAACCAAAGGGGGCACCAGGAGGAGGGAGAAAACCTGAAAAAAACCCAGCAAAGCCTCGCAAAACGGCGCTTAAAGCAGAGGAGGTTGTAGAGATCGCCCCTCTGAAAGGAGAGGAGTGGGGAAGTCCAACCTCTTCTGAAGAGAGTGAATCCAAATCGGAAGTCGACTCACTGGTAAGTCCAAATAAGGGCCCTATGACCATTCCAGTGAGATTAAGGGTACCCACGTCAGGAGCTAGAAGAGCTGTGGTCATTTATCGATAAGAATTTGGAACGTGGTTTCATCCAACCCGCTAGACCCCGGGTAGCAGCCTCAGTATTGTTCCGTGAAAAGAAAGATGACTCCCTTCATTTATGTGTTGACTACAGAAACCTGAACGCTATTTCAGTGGAGAATGTGTACCCCCTCCCCTTGATGAAGGATAGGTTGGCCCATTTGGCCAAAGGGAAAATTTTTACAAAACTCTACTTGAGAGAAACATACTACCAGGTTTGAATTAAGGAAGGGGATGAATGGAAAACTGCTTTTAACTGCCCAATGGGTTGTTTCCAATTCAACGTTCTTCCATTTGGTCTACAGGGGGCCCCTGCAGTATTCATGCAAATGATCAATCAGGTGTTGCATGAATATATATACAAAAGGGTGTTGGTTTATCTTGATGATATTCTTATCTACACAGAGACTCGTGATTAACTTGTGAAACTAGTGCGGTCAGTTCTGGAAAAACTTTGAGCTGCTGAGCTGTATGCAAAGTTGTCCAAGTGTGAATTCCACCTGGAAAAAAGTGACTATTTAGGTTATCGCATCTCACATGATGGCATAGAAATGGATCTGGGGAAGGTTCGTGCCATTTTGGAATGGGGCCCTCCCCGCACCAGAAAACAACTTCAACATTTCTTGGGATTCGCTAATTTTTACCGTCAATTTATCCCTGCTTTTGCTAAGATTGCAATGCCTATCACAAATCTCCTAAAAACCAAAGGGGAGGTGAAACCGCAGCCAAGGAAACCCCTGGAGTGGTCCATGGAATGTCAAGCCGCTTTTGAAAAGCTGAAACGACTGTTTGCTGCTGAACCAGTACTCAAGCTGGGCATGGATGCTCCTTTTGTAATCCAAGCCGATGCAAGTGACGCAGCAGTCAGGGCGGTGTTACTACAAGCAAACGAGACGGGAACTCTGCAACTGTGTGCATATACTTCCCGTAAACTAACTGAAACTGAAAGGAGATGGGCCATCTGGGGAAAAGAAGCTTTTGCAGTTCGTTGGGCTTTGTTAACCTGGAGGCATTTCTTAGAAGGGGCAAAACATCCATTTGAGATGTGGACGGATCATAAAAATTTGGAAGCTTTGAAAACACCTTGGAAGCTGTCTCCCAAGCAAGTTCGCTGGGCGCAGTACTTTAAGCGCTTTAATTTTTCATTGAAGTACATTCCAGGGGAGAAGAACTTCATGGAGGATGCTTTATCTAGATTACCTCAATATAATAGTGCTCACCAAGAAGTGGTACAACCGATTGTCCCAACAAAACAGTTGGCAGCTCCAGTGGTTACCAGAGCCTAGAAAAAGAAGAAGGTTGATTTATCAAATGATTTGACTGCACAGTTAAGAGATGCTCTAAAACTTGATGATTGGTTCCTTGCTCACTCAAATAACTGTACAGTTAGAGATGGATTGGTATGGGTGGGGGCCAAATTTCTCAGCGAAGCTGAGAAACCAAATATTACAGCAAGCTCATGACTCTAAAGCCGCTGGTCATTTTGGATTCGTGAAAACCTTACACTTGGTTAAAAGGCGATTTTGGTGTCCTACCTTGAAAAAGGACATTGAGACTTATGTAGCTAGTTGTCCTATCTGTGCCTCAGCCAAACGGCCTCCTGGTAAACCAGCCGGCTTACTACAAAATGTGGCGAGACCAACGGCTCCATGGAAGGAAATCTCTATGGATTTTATAGTGGAATTACCTGAAAGTGGGGGGAATACAGTTATTTGGGTAGTAACTGATTTGTTTTCCAAACAGGTACATTTCATACCTTGTCTGAAAATCCCATCTGCAAAAACGTTGGCTAAACTGTTTATTTTACATATCTACAGGTTACATGGGGTTCCTGAACGCATAATCTCAGACAGGGGTGTCCAGTTTTACCTCAAACTTTTGGAAGGAGTTCCTGAAGTTATTGGGCTCTGCCCAGGGCTTAAGCTCCGCCCACCACCCACAAACCAGTGGGGCTTGTGAGAGGACTAACTCGGTATTGGAACAATATCTTCGATGTTATAGAAATTATCAGCAAGATAATTGGGCTGACCTATTGCCATTCGCTGAGGTGGCATATGATAATTCGGTACATAGTAGTGGTACATAAAGTGGCTTCAGGACAAGACTTTGTACCCATACCCAAGCTTCCACAGGAGAAACCTAACCTTCAATCATTAGATGAATGGATAACACAGCTCCAGCTTACCTGGCCGGTTACCCGTAAAGCATTAGATGGTGCTCATCAAGCTCATAAAAAATTTGCAGATAAAAAGAGAACTCCACAAAAACCATATCAAGTGGGTGACCAGGTCTTTTTATCCACCAGATATTTGCAGACCACACAAAAGTCAAAAAAGCTTGTACCTAAGTATGTTGGACCTTTCTCAATTGAATGAATTGTGAACCTTGTGGCAGTCCAACTGAAATTACCAAAAACTCTTCGACAGATCCACCCTGTTTTCCACATTAGTTTATTAAAACCTGAACATACCTCCGACTTGAGACCAACTCAGGTTGATCCCCCTGTACCACTGCTAATTGAAGGTGAACAACATTTTGAAGTTAAAGAAATTTTGGATTCTCGAAAACGAAGGGGTCGACTCCAGTATTTGGTTGCTTGGAAACATTTTCCTCCTTCCCAGGCTGAGTGGGTGAATGAGAAGGATGTTAGAGCTCCTACACTTATCAAGGCATTTTGTACTAAATATCCTGATAAACCCTAAAAAATTAGTATGTTGCTGTTACATGTATATTTTCTATTACCGTGTATTTTTATCTTTTTTAGGACTAATGTCTCTTTTCTAGGAGGGCCAAATGTCAGCCTTCAAGATTTTCTCCCTTTGCTTTGCATCTTTTGGCTGTCATAAGTAACGGGGGGAGGAGGGGGGAATGGTTATGGGAAGTGAGCTGGAGGTGTTACAAAGCAGAACTGTACAAACTGGGGGGGGGGTACATTCTTGCTTAGGTTTCTATCCTATGCTATGCGCAGCTGCAACCCTTTATCAAACTATGTCAAGGTCAATGGACAGAAGCCTCATCACCACCTGGAGATGCCCACATGATGATATACACCACTTTTAATTGGATGAGCCAATTGAACTATTGGGGGTGGGAACGTTGCCATTACTTTGTATGTGTGATTTACACGCCCATTTTCTCAGATTCAGAATTCTTTTGTTGCTACCACTTGATTTCCAGTAAAAGATATCTTTTCTCAGTTTAATGGAGTCTAAGTATTTCTTTCTTGGATTTTGAATGGAGCACCAGCTGACACCAAGCAGATTATCCCTGATTATTTTTTCCTTTGATTGTATTTCTATTTCTGCGGTCTCTCTCTCTCCCTCCCTCTCTCCCTCTCCCTCTCTCTCTCTCTCTCTCTCTCTCTCTCTCTCTCTCTCTCTCTCTCCCTCCCTCCCTCCCTCCCTCCCTCCCTCCCTCCCTTCCTCCCTCTCATAAATTATGTTCATAGATTGCATTCCATCCAGTAGTAGGATTCAGCACTAGTTTGGGTGAGCCAGTTACCACCACCCTGCCCCAGTTATTAAAATGGATCCTGGGTGCTACACTCCAATGGAGAAATTGGCAACAGA